AAAATATTCCTTTTTTCAATATCTATCGCTATTATATACATTTTATTTTCAAAGAATTTTAATAAATATTCTTTTTCTGTGGATGAAATTATATTTCTCTTCAGGATACTTCCAAATGATACTCCAATTTTTATATCAAAACCATGTACGCTTCTGGCTAGAAATAATATCCACAAATTGTTAGAAATTTCTTACTAGTGAAAATAAATAATTAGATAATTTTAATGTCTTACCAGGATTTTTAAGTAGAAATACTGATTCTTCTTTATTCACTTGTGATGGCTCGGGAATTTGCTCGTTCATCATGTAATTTTTAACGATTATAGCCAGACGATCTTCATTGAGTGTATCTAAACACAACGCTTTAACCGCCGAATAATTTGCATAGAGATGGACTGCCACCAGGAAGAGATACAATTCTAATAAATATCTATATGTACATCATTTCAGCATTATTAATAGTATTTATAACAGCGATCAGACATAATAAATGTACCAGATACATACTGTCCATCGTGGAATAAAGACAATATAAAGATCCCAAAGAATGATGCAATTAGATTTACACAGGTCTCTTGACTCCCATCTTTTGCGGAGACATCTGCCACATTATTTTGTATCGCCTATAACAAGAAAGCAATCTTTAGTATAGAGCTATGATGTGCGTATAAATAATTATTCACCTGATGATGAATCAGTGCTGTTCTCGTAGCTCCACCAGCAACACCGACAATGGACTTCATCGTCGTTGAGACACACAGAATCACAACAGAATATGAGGAAAAATATGGCACAAGTAATTCTATCCCTTTGGCTACGTCGTCCAAGATATCGGCAAATAGCCTCCATTTTTTGCATTGTCCATCTAATTCAGTTCTATAACAGAAAAAAAACTTCGTTATCAAGCATTACAACATAACTAGTGTGTAACAACTATTCTTAGAAAATATCTAGTCTTGTCTGTGTTCTTTACCCATTCCACCATGCAAACATTATACTGCCAATCATTCCAGTGCCACTCTTCAGGATCCACGTTATCGCTGCTGCTAAGGGTGTAGCATTTGACTCTCCGACTCCTATCCCTTTCATTATGGAATGCGTCGTTAGGGTGCCTGTTATGGTGCTCGCAAAGGCCTGTAAAATGTTAATTTCATCTTCGTGAGTCATCTCGTTCATAAAACGTAAGACAGGGAAGAAGAAAAACCTCATGTATATATCAATACAAAAAGATTATCTGCAGTATCAAACAAACACATATGTAAACATATTTACTCGGAGATTTAAACGAACCTGCACCGTGTCCCATATCTGATACGCCGTGTAGTCAGGATGCACGCTGTTCGGATACCCTCGCGGCAGGAATATCTGTTTGAGGACGGACGTGATCCGGGAACGAATGGCCCGCAACTCCGTGGGGCCGAGTTTTGCCTCGATCGCGATGAAACCATCTGCTCAACAAGTGTCAACACGCGATCAACGCAAGGTTAAGACGTGGCAGCTGTGATATGATCGACGATTTGATCGATTATCATCGGGCACATAACGAATACCTTACCTTCTGACCTTACGTAAACTGTCTCTTTCTCATTCCCGTAACTTTCGCGAAACAGAACGCGCATATTCGCGAGAAGAACAGCAAGAATTCACTCGCCAGCTCGTCGCCACGTTCGCAACTGCACGCTGCACGTCGTCTGCTTTTAAATACCACGCTTCTCCTAGGCAATCGTAAGTCGAAACTTTTTGGAAGAATTTATTATTACAAAGAAATTAATTAAAACCGAGACTTATTGTTCTTTAATACAAAATTTATTAAGATTATAAATTATAACAAAACAATTTTTTAATTAAAAATATACATTTAAAATTTATTTAAACGCATTTTTCTCCGTTTTTTTTTGTTTCGCAATAATAATTCAAATACAGAGGCTTGAATCGACTTGAAAAAAATTGAACATGTTTACAAATATGTATAATTTCGGACTGAACCTCTCTAAAAAGTCTGTGCAAAACTATAATAGTTTTTAAGAGAAAAAAATCAAACAGTTCTTTTTTTTTCAGCGGAAAGTAATTAATTTTTAATAAATTATAATTAAATAGAAATGTGAATAGAAATAATTATATTAATTTTATTACTTTTATTTAAAAAATAGTATTAGTTAAAAGTTATAATTGCTAGTAATAATATATATAAATTCAATCGGTACAATTGTCTACAGCAATATTTCTGGCTCGTTATCCCTAATCTAATCTTTCTTTTCATGTATGTGTCAAACAACAAAAAATTTAATTTTAAATTTAATTTTAAATTAATTATAATATGAATAGAATTAGTTTTATTAATTCTATCCACAAAATAGTATGACATGTTAATTGCTGGTTACGAGTAATATGCAACCGGCAGAGTTTCATATAGCCAAGATTTCTGCTCGTATAACTCCCTAATCTAACCTTTCTTTCTATATGTGTTAAACAAGCAACCAAAAATTAATTTTTAATTGATAAATAAAAATGTGGATAGAATTAATAAAATTAAATAATAAAATTAATTCTACCCACGTTCTAATTTATTAACAATATATATAAACACGCAAATAACAAAGTATACAGGATCATATATACTATAACAATAAGTATAACGATACTTGACAAGTTAACATCCTCGACCGTTATTCTTCGCTGTATTTCTTTTATTTCCAAATATCGCGCCAGCATCGCCGATTATTCCGTTTAATTCGGCGATGCACGAATCTAATCTTTCCTTGATTTTATTTACGTCGCTCCTTCTATCAACGCTTGCAGTTGCAATGGTCTTCCGTCCATTACTCGAATCCATTTGACGATCGATGATTTTTACGCTTTGTGAATTATCTTCGCGTTTACGAGCGCCGTTCACCCTTTTACCTTCGTAACCAAGTCCAGGCGCAATTTCTTCTTTATGATTTCGAGATTCGGGTCGTAATCTATTTTGTTGTGTCTTTGAATCATTTTTATGCGTTAAAGCTCTTCTCAGCCGTAGCTTTGCAAGAAGATTTATTTTCACTTTGCGATACTTCGAATCGTCATTGTCTTTCGAATTTCCGCCGTCATGCATATTTTGCATTTGCAGTTCCTTATTATCATTCCCATAAGTAATCCTTTCTATTTTCTCCTCATCGATCTCCTCAAATTTTTCTTTTTTCGCATCTGTATCACACGTCGATTTTATTTCTTCTTTAATCACATTACGAGATTCGTTGCTAATTATTGTTGTACCTGATGGCGATCTGTTTACTTCATTTCGCGATGCAACATCATTCGCTGGAGATTTTTTCTTCTTTACTTTTCGCGCGAGATTGTGTCTTCTCGATTTCGATTTAAAGCAGTTGATGAAAAGAGATCGGCCTGCGTGTCTACACCCGATCGAGGCGTATTGTACGCCTCTGGAAATTCTTTTCCTCTTAATTTTGGATACAGAAACATTCGCAGGGCTACAGCCCGTCTCGCTAACAACGACTTCGTTTTGATGCTCGTTAAGCTTCGTCGGCCTCTCATTTGCAACACGTAAAGTTTTCGCATCCCCAGCGTCTCTTACGTTTCTCGGTCTCTCGTCGGTTTCTTTTCCGGATTTTTCGGCGTCCGAAATGGACTTTCGATACGTTCCCAACGGTTCAGACACGCGCGACCTATTTGGCCATTCATCATCTTCGATTGATTTATCGTCACGCGGGTAATCCTCTTTAAATACGGCTGCCTCGTTTGCTGCTTCTACTTCCCGCGCACGTTTCGCAAATGATAAACGAGCGGATAAATCAGTGCCGCTTGGCGAATCGTCCCCCTTAAAATTTCTTCGCGGCTCGTACCGTGCACCCGTTCGATTTTCTCCGTTTTCCGTCGAATGATTAACTCCCGCTGGTATTAAACTAAGACATGAAATGTTTCTTCATGCGTGAAATATTAATCAGTAAAATATTATATATAGGTCACAATTAACAGCGTTTTTCATTGGCAGAACTGGTGCGCACTGAGTGCACATTAAAGCCGTTGTACACTGATTTAATCTCTAATATTTAAAGTAAAATGCAAATATTTCGACTGATAAAATATCCAGTACATATTTTACCAAATAGTGCAATAAAGAATATTGAGGATTTCATGATTTAACCCGTTTATATTAAACATACACTTTATATACGTTGGTTTGTGTACATTGGTTTGTGTACGACGGCTTTAATGTGCACTGAATGCGCACCAGCTCAGCCAATGAAAAACGCTATAAGTTAATTTGCTCCAATTATTTCAAATGTAAATTCTACAGCGTAGAATGTAGATCATTTTACGATGAAACCAGCAAAGAATACTTTAATAATTATATAAAGATTAATTTTTTGACGAGTTTGGTTGCTTTAAGGGAAAATATACTTTATATATATATATTTAGTACTTACAACATATTCCAAGTATTAAAGATATAGATTTACACCTATTTATTTACAAAAAAAATTATTGCTGAAAAATATTTCTTAATTCCTCGTTGATCATACCTTAACGAGTTATGCGTCACAATAATTGAAGAGATTATGTTTTCATTTTTTAATGTGACTATTTCTTCTCGTAATCGCAAGATCCTGACATTTAATTTGGCCACAGCAGCGACGATATTATCGATGCTAATTTCTGCGTTCTCTGCAGATGACCAGTGATACGAATTGGAAATTACTCCGTTTGCATGCGTATCCATATCAGCTACTTTTTAAAAGGAAAATAGTTTGCTAAAATATTCAATACTTTGGTAATATTTAATACTTAATTGATAGTATAATAACAATCTAATATAATAATAAAATTACATTAGTAACATTACTTCACAAAAATTGTTATTAAACCTTAACGTCAAGTAATTTTATTATCTATCATTTTGAAAAGTATAAGTTTCTCTAGTTATATTTCTCTTCTAACTGCTGGAAACAGCATAAATTATTAATCAGCGATGCGTCTTGCTTGAAAATAACGTCGCATCGCTTAAATGTCAAAATGTGAGTGATCTTCACACCGAAGATCATTCACTCGATTTTATAGGGCAACTAAATTTTTAAGAAAAATTAATAAGTAACAATGAAAGAAAATAGTAAATTCAAGATGTAATCAGTGCGTTATCGAGATCCGAGATGGCTGAGGATAATGTCGACGATATCCTGGTGCGCCTCGAAGAGATCGAGAAGCTGCAGACGGAACTTCGGCATTTGGTACCGCGAGTCACGGGTAGCTCGTCCAGACATGCCATCAGACACCAGGATCTATCCCGCGATTCGCCCGCGTCGATCCGTTTCCCATCCCTCTTCACGTTTCCCGTGATTTCGAACTTTACGTCAACCTCGAAGAACGATCGTGTGCAAAAATCAGCTGCGCGGTTGAATCTCAACAGCAAATCGTTGAGCGGCAACCGACACTCGACGGCAAATCTGAGAAACGCAGGAGAATCTTCTCGAAGTGGAACGAGGGAGACGAATGTCTTTAAGAATCTGTTGAAAAGCAACAACCACGTCACCAGCTCACACGCGAGAGATTCTTCGGCCTCAACTTCCGTGGCAGATTCGAGGGCAAGGAGCGGTATCGTAAATCGAGTAGTCAAGTATCCGCAAGAAGCAATGAAAAAGAGATTAAAGAGCGATACGTCGAAGACCGCAGCCAGAGATAAAACGCAGCGTATAACTGGCGAGAGATCCAACGTGCATATATCCGGAAATGAAAATGTGAACTCAAGTGAATGGAGTATATTTTAAGTTTCTGTTGATTTTTATTATTCATTAAAATTGTTTATTATTAATCAGATTTTATTTTCTCAAACAAAGGGATTTTATATGTTTTTTTCTTTTTTTTCTTCCGACTTCAAATGATTAATTCCTTAGATTCTTTCGATTCTTGCGTTTACAGTACGCTCGTCTGTATACAGATATCGGACATTCCGGTTCACGGGACAGAAGCTACGCAATCACGAGGCGCATGTCTAAGAAGTCGGGATTATGACAGAAGCGGCACGCTTATCGAGCGAATTACAAACAAACTGAACTATTGTTTCGTAGACAACAAGAGGGTGACCGTCCCATATCATCATCTAGGGAATAAGACACCCAGAAGAGTGCAGATATTACATTCGATTAATGGAACGGAAACTCCACGATTACATGAGTCTGCGGCGAAAATGTCCGTCAATTAACAATATGATGCTTCAAAAAATTAATTAAAGATATATAAAATAATGCTGCAAGATAAAGTAACATAGCTTTCGAGATTTTAATCTATAAAAGCGGATATAATTCTATTATAATTATGCATCCAATTTGGAATTAGAAAGCATTGATGAGTTGATGACATCTATTGCACAAATAAATTACGAATTATATCTCTAATCTCAAGGAATTAAACATTATTTATTAATTTACTTTATTCTCTATGCATATGCTTCAAGTCCGTCTTGAGAACGTGAGACTTAATCAATTAACAACCAGTGAACTGCTCGCCGAAAATTTTTCGGTCTTGAAACACAGTTTTAGTTTTGCCGAAACAGTAAGTATGTAGATTTAATGTTCACTCTGAGTTGGAATATAAAAATTCACACAAAAATATTATTATCGAAACAAACATCCTGTCACGGCTCTTATAGCTCTTTGTTATTTAGGTGATTTCTAATTGTGTTAACCTTCTTTTATTAATT